AGCTACACCTCAGAAAAGAAAAGTAAAATAATATTTAATGTGTCTCTCCCTTTACTCAATAATTGCTTTTCTTCTTTTTCTTTGCTTTTCAGATCTCTCACCTGCCATGGTGTGCATGTTAAAATGAGGGTTCCTGGGTCTCGCCACCAGAGCTGGCCCCAGGATCTGCATTTCAGCAAGAAACCCCAGTGGTGGGCGTGCAGGAGCCCCTGGCCATGCACAGAGAAACAGACGCCACAAGACATGGGCGCAAACTCCGCTGTCAGCAGGGGCCTCAAAATGCTCTCCAAGGATCTCGAGGATTGTGCGCTAAACTTCCAGGTGAAAGAGTAAAATTGGTAAATACAAGAACCAAGTTCCAGCGCCTTACAAATCATTTTCCCGAAGAAACACATTGCTGCGAAAAGCAGTCTTTCCTTTCAAAGGATGTGTTCCAGGTCTAAGGGGAATTGTTAGCCAAGGGAGAAATTTTAGATCTTAATTCCAACCAACCTTGCTACCATGCTGTGTTCAGGGAAAGTGGACATTCCCAAGCTCAATGAAGGTTGCTAAAGGTGGAGTCACTCAGGCACCCACAGTTTGCATTTACTGTCATGTATGTACTTCTGTTTTAAAATGAAATAGAATCACCAAAGAGAGACAGGGAGGTGATTATGTAATTAAATGCAGTACTTAATGCCCTATTTTACATCATTTTGCCTACATTTCTTAGACTGCTGGCTCCCAACCTAGCATTTCAGGAGTTATAAAAGTCTCAAAGCAATATTTTAATATTAATTTTAAAAAATATATGACGGGGAGCATTTTTAGACAGTCGGGAAGCAGGGAATATAAACACATAAAAATTCCAGAAACCGCACATCACTGAAGAAGGCCTATGGAGGCATGGCCGGCTGGACTTGAACCTCACCAAGCAAAATGTTCCCAGTGCCTGAGCCCACAATGTTAAGACTCTCTTACCCTTAAGGTGAATGAGTTCAAGATGAGAGTGTTGAAGCAGAAAGGAAAATTTAAAAAAATTAAAAGGAAAAAACATTGTCTTTTTGCCCAGAATCATCTAGCTAGCAACTGTGGACAGTTGGAACTGCCCAAACTTCCTAGCAAGGAGGAGAATTCGAAGCTACAGCCCTCACCTTCCCCTCTGCACCTAGGCCTGCCAAACCACGGCCTCCCACCCACCCCACTCCTCCCCTCTATCAATCACAGAACCTTTTCCTCGGAGAGAGGAATCCGACTTCCCAACATCTTTTATAAAGATAAATGTTTTCCATTACGTATCAGCCTCAGAAACCTTCGGATCTGTAATACAAGAAAGAGTCAGGAGAGGGAGCGAGAGAAGAGAAGACAAGAGGGAAGAAGGAAAGAGGAGGGAAGAAAGGAGAAAATACAGCTCTCCTTCTATTCCATTGCTCACTGCGGATAATACCTTTGGATGCTTAGGTGCTAGGGTGCTCCCTGGTATTGAAGCCAGGTTTCTGAAACCTGTAGTTTTTATAGTTTTGAGACTCAGTTGATGGTTTCCATTTGTGGAAGATCTTGTGGCCCCAAGACTGAACTGTGTCACTTGCTAGCTTCCTGATCATAAAGGTAAAGAAGGAAAATTTCTACTGGCATCACATCGGCCATCAAAGGAAGATGGAGCTGGTTAAACACCTGGTGGGCCTTTGTGCTGCTGAGGAGAGAATGGCTACCTCACTGCACTGATGGCTAGGTGGGTGCTGGGTATACTGGGTTGCTTGGTAGAGCGGAGTTAGAATTCCCCGGCAACCAGAGAGGAAAGGGGTGAAGACAAGGAGAGAGGGGCGGCCACTAAGTGGAGCAGCAGACGCAGTGAGGATCCCCAGGCAGATTGGTAGGACCTGGAATGTCTCCTTGCTGCTGTTTGCTGTGTAAGAGGACCACAAGCCCTGACCGGTTTGGCTCAGTGGATAGAGCGTTGGCCTGCGGACTGAAGGATCCCAGGTTCGATTCCGGTCAAGGGCATGTACCTTGGTTGCGGGCACATCCTCAGTAGGGGGTGTGCAGGAGGCAGCTGATCGATGTTTCTAACTCTCTATCCCTCTCACTTCCTCTCTGTAAAAAATCAATAAAATATATTTTTTTAAAAGAGGACCACAAACCTGCCCTGTGCCCCCCAAACTATCAGTGCTCAGCACACACACGGCCAGCACGGTTTGTTCTGAGTGGAACCAAAGAGCGGCCAAGTTCCTGGTTGGGGTTGATGCCTGGGCAGAGGCCACGGAAGAGTTGTAAGAAGTACAATGTAGAGAAAGGGCCGGGAACCAGAGCTAGAGGTGATCATGAGAATGTTACCCCATCGCGCAGGAGTTCAGAGGAAGAAGGGGAAGCGGGCCCCGGCCCTGGATGGGTCCCAGCAGGGGGAGCTTTACCAACCTTCAGGATCCCGTATCCGTTCCGTCTTCTACAATACCAGCAGCCGAGGAACAGCACAAGTCCCAGGATCACCGTCAGGACGCCAATCCCTGCGATCCTGGCCCAGGAGACAGACAGATCCAGCTTGGTACGTCCTCCACACTGTGACCCCCTGCTCCTCTCTTCACAGGGACTTGCCAGCCCAGCACAGCACCACCCAGTCCCCAAGTAATTTCCCGCCACATGGCACACCGGGCAGCCACCAGGCCTCCAGCACTTGCATCCAGGGGCAGCGCCTCCTCTAGGAGCCTCTCAGGTATGTGCCAACAGGAGCCCTGCTACCCGGCATGGGCACGAGCACCCAAGTTCCTGGTGCAGGAGGTGCAGTAGCAACTGACCCTCATGTGGACAATATATTTTTTGAGGCTGAATTATCTTTTCATTGGGGCTGGTTTAAATCATTTCCCCCAACTATCAGCCCACAAAAAGGAAATGGAAATTAGCATTGACTGACCATCCACTATTAGCCAGGTGCCATGCTAAACATTTCAGCGGTCGCCAGCCGGTGGTCCGCGGGCCGCTGGTGGTCCGTGAGGTCCGAAAGGCTGGCGACCACTGCTCTAGATACATTAGCTTATTTAATTCTCACAACAGCCCTGGAAGGCAGGCACCGCTTACCGTCCCCATTTCACAGATGAGGAAATACATGCAGAGGTTAAGTGCCTTGCTGATGGTCACACAAAGATAGCATGGGATTTGAACTTGACTCCCTTGTGCCCTCTCAGCCCTATCCGTCCCCCACACCTCATTCCTTGCCCATGTCCCCTCCCTTCCTGCCTTGACTAACACATGTTCCTAGACTCAGCATCATTCCTCCCAGTGTGATGGCAACCCATGCTGCCTTCTCTCACAGGCCTCCTTGTGGGTGATCACTGTGTGCTCACCTGTTTCTTCTTGACATGGCAAGAGCTCCCAGAGGCGTTGTGTGTGTGTGTGTGTGTGTGTGTGTGTGTGTGTGTGTGTCTTCAATGTCTAGAACGAGTCAGGCACATAGGTGTTTCAAGAAATATTTCTTGAAGCTGGGTGGATGGATGAATGGATGGCCAAACAAATTAATAAAAAAAATGAACAAATGCATTATGGCTGATTACAAATTCATAATCCATAACAAAATCCATAATCCATAACAAATTCATAACACCACTCTCTCTGAAAAATGAATGAACAATTTAATGTCTTCTTAAAATAACTAACTATCTAAAATTATGTGGATTTTTGACAAAATGTGACTTTAACCTCTTGTGAGTCATTGGTACTCTAGTGAGAATACAGGGATCAGCAACATACCACAGAGCAGGTTTGGGTTTGGGATGGAGAGAGTTAATAAAGAGACAGAGAGAGCTCAGAAACCGGGCCCTGAGGGCTTAGAACTGGGGCATTCTGACTTGTAGGACTGAGAGGTCCAGGAGACTATAAGTGTCACAGGGATGCCAGAGCCCCGCCCAGCCAGGACACGTGTCCTGGGTGTATGCTCGGTGAGGCAAGCTGCTGTCCGGCCTCCACTTGCTCCAGGAATTCAGGGCAGGTGCTTGCTGCTTCCTCTGGTCTCCCCTGAGGGACTAGAAGGGGCATCTGAGAACGGAGCTGGCGGGAGGCCCCTGGAGCAGCTGAGATGAGAGGTCTGACCTCTCGGCCAGTCTGGCTGCCAAGTCAGAGAGGCCAGATGACCCCTGGAGCCAGGCGCTCTGTGGATACTTGGTAAGCGCCTCACAGCTGGCCGGCCGGGCAGGGATCACTAAACAACACAGCCCTGGGCCCAGCCCTGGGAGGAGTGTCCGGCTGCACCTGGAGCAAAGCTGCAGCCTCGCTGAGAAGGGGCAGGAGCCACGCCAGCCTCCTGGGCCCTGTGTCCAGTGTCCTTCTCAGGCCCCGGGGCTCTGCTTCCTCTGAGTAACATGGCCAGCTCACGGGCACCTGCCTGCCTTTCCACTTCACAGCATGAGCAACGGCAACAAAATGGAGAGTGCAGAGTCCTTTACCTGCGACCTGCTAGCAGTGGTTCTCAACCTTCCTAATGCCGCGACCCTTTAATACAGTTCCTCATGTTGTGGTGACCCCCAACCATAAAATTATTTTCGTTGCTACTTCATAACTGTAATGTTGCTACTGTTATGAATCGTAATGTAAATATCTGATATGCAGGACGTATTTAGGCGACCCCCGTGAAAGGATCGTTTGCCCCCCAAAGGGGTCGCGACCCACAGGTTGAGAACCGCTGTTAGAGAAAGGCTCCGCAGAGCTGGGCGGTGATGAGTCGGAGCAGCTGCAGGAGAAACAGGGTCTGACTGAGAGACCTTTGCCCAGCGCCACCTGCTGCACCACCACCATCTCAAGTCCCTGAGGGGCCAGGGCCCACCTCCCAGGGGGATGGCAGGGCAGGATACAGCTCTGACCTGATGCTGCAGGCCAGTCCCCCACATGCAGCCGAAACCCCCCACAACTCATCAGCATCTCCACCACCTTCGGGGCCACTCCCTGAGCACCAGTCTGTGCCAAGCCCCCCAAATATGGGCTTTTATTCCATCTTCATGGCAACCTCTGAGGTAGGTGGGATGTTCGTTCCGCAGCTGACACCCCAAGACTTCAGGCTGGTACAGTGCCTCAGGTTGCACACAGGTAAGTGGCAGAACCAGCTTCCACAGCGACTGGCCCCATGTACCCAGCGCGCACGTCTAGAATGTGGGCAGACCCAGTCCCCCTCGCCTGGGCCAGTGCTTTGCTGATCACCCTTCCGGGAATGAACTGTCCCATGGAGCGAGCCGTGGGCCCCGTGACGAAGGCAGCTGACTCCATTCCCAGCGGCTGCGCTGGTTCCACCGCCAGGTCTGCGGCTCTGCCCTGGACACCATGGCACAGAGCTCGCTCTGTGCCCGCTCTTCACACACAGTCACGTTGCACTCACACCCCCAGGGACTGGCCGAGAGCGGAAATCACCAGCCTATGCCGCACACCAGGAAAACCCACCCCCAGCTGGGCTGGGCCTCAGAGTGTCACCCCAATACCTCCCCCCCTCCAACCGAATCAGCCTCTTGGGTGGTGTGGTGGCGCCTACGAAACCGCATCTCTTCAAGCTCATGTGACCTGTGCCCTCACGCCTGACGCTACGAGCCTGTTGAGTCATCATGCAGAAGCCGAAACAGCATCCTACTTAACACCATGTGCAATGTAGCCCCCAAAGAGTATCCTTTAGCTCTTGGGACAATTTTTCAGAACATCTGCCCACCCACCCCGATGACCAGGCGGGACGTTAGGAAACCCACGGGGCCTTGGGGAGATGCTCCCTCGGTGTCCGCCTGGGTCTGACACTTGCTGGCCCTGCTAGTTCACTCTAGGAAGGATTTGTCAACAGCTCTTTCCCGAGGGCGAGCCGGCTGGCAGGAGCTGAAGAGAGGGTTCCTTGTCTGTCTTGTTGGAACCCCCACTCAGGGGGCGGGCTCCCCTCCTGCCACCACACCCAGACCCGCCCAGCGTCCCCGCAGCCCATGTTCCCATGACAGCACTTGCTCTTGTGAAATCATCCTCGTGCCTAACTCTCCCACGAGATCATAAGACCTTTTTCAAGGGAAGCATAGCATCTTGGGCAGGTTACACAGTGCTTCGCTCTTAGAAATGCTTCATGGATTCAAAATACCAAATGCCTTTCCAGAGGATAGTCATGAAGCAAAGGTGGAATCACAGACCTGCCCTTCATCCTCACTTGCTCTTTGGCAACTCACCTTTGTTCTGTCTGCAGACCACCTTCTGGAGTCTGAAGAAAACACCCAGACCCGCCCAGCGTCCCCGCAGCCCATGTTCCCATGACAGCACTTGCTCTTGTGAAATCATCCTCGTGCCTAACTCTCCCACGAGATCATAAGACTTTTCAAGGGAAGCATAGCACCTTGGGCAGGTTACACAGTGCTTAGCTCTTAGAAACGCTTCATGGATTCAAAATACCAAACACCTTTCCAGAGGATAGTCATGAAGCGAAGGTTCTGCCCACCGTGTGCGCCCTGGAGTCAACCGCAGGTGGAATCACAGACCTGCCCTTCATCCTCACTTGCTCTTTGGCAGCTCACCTTTGTTCTGCCTGCAGACCACCTTCTGGAGCCCGAGAGGCGTAGACAGAACATGGCCCGAGGAAGGAGGCAACTTGCTTCCAGACATGTTTTTTGGCCTGGGAACCCACAGCAAAGGCTGAAGAGCCAAGAATGCAGACCAAAATGGCCAGATCCAACTCTTTACCACCCACCATCCCTCCACTCCCCCCACTTAGCACACATTTATACACCCAGATGTCCGACTTCTCCATCCATCATTGATCCAGCTACATGCCTGTCCATCCACCCACCCGTGCACACATCTTTGTGCCCACTTGCCCATCCATGGCTGCTTCCAACTCTCCCAGCAAGTGCTCTCCCGCACCAGTCCTGTGCCGGTCCTGTGCTAGGGTCACGGGGCATGCAGAGATTAAAATGAATTAAGTTTACAATGTTCAAGAAAATCTTGGTCTAAGTCTGTATTCACTCCAGGTCACCTTCCAGGTGACTATTTGTTGAGCTCCTCCTATCAGTCAGGTGTTTCAGGCACTGGGCACAGATAGACACTGTTACTCTACCCCCTCCCACTTTACAGACGAAGAAACTGAGGCTCAGAGGTTATAGTGCAGTGGTTCTCAACCTTCTTAATGCTGCGACCCTTTAATACAGTTCCTCATGTTGTGGTGACCCCCAACCATAAAATTATTTTCGTTGCTACTTCATAACTGTAATTTTGCTACTGTTATGAATCGTAATGTAAATATCTGATATGCAGGATGTATTTTCATTGTTCGCGACCCACAGGTTGAGAACCGCTGCTAGAGAAACAAGCAAAATGCATTTTTATTATTCCTTCCTTTCCTTGGCCCAAGACTGTGGTTAATAACAGGAGTTATTTCTCTCGAGCAGTGTTATTTGATATCAATCCTTGGACACATAGGAGGCTATGGTGACCTACTGTGTGTGGCCATGCACCGCACACTTTTCAACAAAGAAAACCACCCCCTACAGGTGCCTGGTCTAGTCCACATTCACCCCCCAAAATGGGCTGAAGAAGCCCATAGCTTGACTTTCGTAATAATTTCTTGTCCCTCCCGCTGAAATCAATTTCTGCTTCTCCCTTGTTCAAGTCTCATGACTGGGATTTAAAGTGTGTGTGTGTGTGTGTGTGTGTGTGTGTGTGTGTGTGTGTGTGTGTGATGCCTGTGTGTGTGTGATGCCTGTGTGTGTGTGAAATTTAATCTATAATTTAATCAAAAATTTAATCTATAATACAAATAGATAAAAAGCTTATGAACTGCAGCGGTCGTGATTAAAGTGTGCTTGTTAAAACCCAACAGTGGTTTCTCTTCTCCCCTTGCTATTATGTATTTTTCTTTCCTCTTATTGTTCTCATGCATTTCAAAGGTCTGGTCCCCGCAGAATTATATTAATGAGCCTGTTTAGAACAGCGGGAGAGAAGTGGGCAGTAGAGTGGAGAATTCACCACATGACCCCTTCCACAGGGGCATTCCCTGTATAATTAGCCCTTCCCAGGGGTAAAAAAGACATTACAGCTGAACTCACTGATCAGCTCAGGGGAATAAGGTAGGGGTGAGCCCCGTGTTCAAAATGACAGACACGGCACTCCGTTCATTCTGGGTTAACTTGTTGTGGTGATGAAGCTCTGCCTCCAGTTCAGAGCCGTGGGGAAGCGGGAGGGACAGCAATGCCCCTCCCAGGAGAAGCAGTCCTTCCAGCGACAGACGCTGCTGCTCACAGTGGGCTCTCCCGGGGCCTCTGCTCTGCTGCTAGGCAGTCTCCAGAGAGCATCGAGGAGACTTTATGAACCTTCAGACGATGGAGAATGACAAACACGGAGGAGTTCTGTGATGGCCAAACATCAGGGTGGCGATGAGGGAGGGTGGGGGGTCACCAGGCCCCCAGCCCTGCCCTGAAGGAACAGGCCTCCCTGTGCACTGGGACCCCGGTCCTGCCCTGAAGGAACAGGCCTCCCTTTGCCCTGGGACCCTGGACCTGCCCTGAAGGAACAGGCCTCCCTGTGCACTGGGACCCTGGCCCTGCCCTGAAGGAACAGGCCTCCTCGGGCCCTGGGACCCTGGCCCTGCCCTGAAGGAACAGGCCTCCCTGTGCATGAGAAGGCAATGCTCTTACCTTCTGGATGGGGTCGTCCTCCAACTGCAGCAGCCCCGTGTGTGAAGACTGCTTCTCCTCTCTTAATCTTTCTTTTCCTCCCCCCTGGTCTTGAGTCCCATGTTAGTCATGAGTTTGGATTTCTGATGGGGTCATCTGTGATTGCTTAATTGGCGTGAATGGAACCAACTTCATTCCTCCCCTCAAAAAGTCATGGCTCACTATGGCTTGTTTTCCTTCATCCTGGGGAAGCCATTTATTTTCAACGCTGGTCCCCCCTCTGTAGGGTCGCTGGTTAAAATACAGGATGCTAGTTGCGTTGGAATTTCAGAAAAACAATAATTTTAGGACTTTAAAAGTGATGAACTGTGGCTCATTTATTAGTATAAATATGTCCCTTTTACTGAACGAGATCTATTTTTACTGAAGAGATTATATTTATTTATCTAACATTTCGATGGAACTGGGCCCCTCACAGCCTCCCTCATGCAGCCTCCAAGGGTTGAAGAGCCTTCAGGCTTAGACCTAGAGCCCATCGAGGCCCACCCCCTTCTGGTCAAGAAGAGGAAATAGAACACCCCTAAGACTTCCGAAGCTGAGCTCCCTGATTTCTTTGTGATGTTCTCAGAGATAACTGTCCCCCGGGGAGAGTCAGATAAGATTTTCTCTTTGAAGGTAGAATCTAACGGAAAGCAGGGCTGATTGAACCTGACACTACGACCTTCCCTGATTATCAAACGTGTAGATGCCAGAAGTGTTTCCGTGGGACAGACAGCTACCTCTGCTCACCAGCTCTCTCATGAACAAACCAGACAAAACACCACCAGAATCAGGCAATCTGAGCCTTCTCATCCCTGAGCTCGTAGACTAAATGGCCACTAAGTTCTCCTTCCCCATAACATATGAGGGCCCCACTCCTACCAAATCCTGTGGGTTTCCAGTGACCATTTGGGATTGTCCTGTGTGAGGACATACTGAACCAAGGCATCACTGGAAATGGCCAGGGAGAGACAGAACAGAAAGAGGGGTGTTCATCCTATTAGGTGAGACAGGGAAAGCCTTTCTGGAAAGGAGAGAAAATGTAAATTGAGACCTACATGAGAAGGAGTCAGCTATAGGAAGATGGAGGAAGAGATTGCAGACGGAGAGAAGAAGCAGTGCAAAGGCCCTGAGGCAGGATAATAGAACATGACTTGGTCTGGGTTCCCAGACCTGAGGCTGATTCAGGAGATTTTGCTCAAAAGTCCGGAAGGATACAAGCTCTTGGTGTCCACGGATTTGGGGAAAGCAGTTTCAGGCTGAACCTTGGGGCCATGCCCAGTAACTCTCACAAAGGCCTGTGGCAGGTACTGTTCTGTGGGAACCGGGGCTCGACAGCTGGGCCCCTGGATGATTGGCAGCAAGACCAGTGAGGAGGGAGGTACTGACCTGGATCTCAGGGGAGGGGAAGCTTCCAGTCTCACTCCAGTCCCCGGGTGCCTGGTGCTCATTCAGGGGCCTTGCGTGCGGGGCATTGTTCTAGCATGGAGACTGCAGAGCCGCTGGCATCTTCCCCTCCCCCAGAGGGCGCTACAGGGCCAGACCCAGCACACTGGGGACACTGTGACCTGTCTGGGGCATGCTCTCCAGTGCCTCTGCTCTTCGGAGTTTAGCAAGAAAGTCCGGCTCAGACTGTACAAGGGCATCTCTTTGGGCCTTTGGTTTGCAGCTTCTGAGGTACCCAGTCCTGACAGGGTGAGGTGCCCAGGATTGGCTGGTGGGGCTTCTTCGAATAGGGTTCCCAAGGAACCTCCGCCTGAAAATCCCACCACATCCTGTTTCCTGGAAGTGCATCTAGAAAGTAGGGCTAATAAAAGTATCTACTCCGGAGGTTAGCGGTGTGAGTTCAAAGAGATCATGCTCACCACGTGTTGACACAGTGGCTGGTACAGAATAAGTTTAGCAACATCGTGAGAACCGTACCAGGAGGCTGCCTGACCCATTACCCCGTTGGCCCAGCTCAACCTGCCTTGAGTTTAGAAGTGGCCGCCACCTCCCCTGTCCCAGCTCCTGGTTAGAACTTGCGCCAAGTCACACCTTGCTGGCCACTGACTGGCGCTCTGCTGCCACCTGGTGGGCCTGGCCTTGCACCACAAGCCCACCTGATGAAGCCGCGCTGAGGGCAGGGCACTGATTGCAGAAATGCCTCTTTGAACTTTTCAAAACCTTCTGCTCAGAGTGCTCAGGGCCAGGACCCACTGTACTCATCTTCCTGGGGACTTAGAACCTTCTTCAGTGCTGGTCACTGTTCTTAGATCGTCATAGCCTCGGGCTCCGCCCCCGAGAAGCCAGGCCAGGCCCTACTGCCCTCACTCTGCCCACTTCCAGGGACTTCCTCTTCTCCATCCCCACTCCCCCTCCGCCATACCCTCCTCAGCCCCCCATTCCTCCCACCAGGGGCTCTGGAGTCCAAACTGCCTGCAGTTCATCTTTTCAATCTGTGTGACTTTGGGGTGTGAGTGTTAGGGTCTCCTGGGAGGAACGCAGAAGGCCAACAGTGCTAAGGGATTATAAATGTATTATGTCATCTGGAGACCAGATGGGCTGAGCCCCCAAATGATGCCAGCACCCAGTGATGGGGAGTCAGAGATTTTAAAGGACTCTAGGCGGGCTTTTCCGGGCAGGCGGAGAGTTCTCTGGGCGGTCAGGGTCCCGGGGATCCTGGGAAGGTCGGGAGAGGAAGGAGAATGGTCTTAGCAAGTGGAAAGTGATCAAAGCGAAAGGGAATGTCCATGGTGAGGTGGCCTAGAGGTCCATTCCCAGGGGAGGGGGCATCGATTCAACTATTTGATCAGACCTAACAGTGGGTTCTTGCTCCTTCACACACACCCCAACAGAAAATTCTAGACTGTGATCAATGGAGGACATCGCTGTGAGTGGGGTTGATGCTGCTGCCCTTTCGTGGGAGACGTGGAACAAACAGAACTGGCTGTGTAGGCGGCCGCGAGGACAGGTAGGCACACCTGCGGCGGCTGCAGGGTCCTGGACCGACCAAATGGCCTTCAGCCCCAGCTCCTGTTACACCTGTGTGACCCTGGGCACG